AGAGTGGAACTTATCCAGCTGAAACAATGTGGCCAAATTGGTAGACACTAAGATAAATGGGGGAAATGACATCAGAGACATGCAGGGATTGAATGTGCCACAACCAAAGGGGAAGGAAGAATATAGAAAAGAGATAAATGAACTAGCCAAATGTGTACTAGTGTGAGACATGTAAATAACCCAAGAGTAATAGTGTGAAACAGTTAAATGTGGCCCAAAGTGGAAATGAGGCTAGAGTGAAATTGGAATAGAATGAAACACCTGCAGAGGCCAAGTGTGGAAGGCGGAATGAAGATTGATGATGTAAGACTGCATGAAGTGATTATGTAATAAAGAAATGTGATGGGGGATCCAGTGTGTTTCTGTCCAAGGGGCATGGTCTTGTGACATACATGGTGTTGCAGGTTGGTTGAACAATCCAGAGGGGGCTTGTCTTGGTCCTTGAGGGTGTCTTTGTCCAAATGGCCTATTATTGTGCTTTAATTTTTGATTTTGTGGGCCTCTTATTCAAGATTGGCTTACCACAATGGATCGGCCAAGTTTCGTCAGTTCCACAATCCCGTGCGGCAGGAAGTACCCCTGGGGTGTAGTCTACTCTGGATGGCTGAGCCGCAGCCGAGTCACACTCTGTGACCTAGGTAAAAACACCCACCCCCTTGGAAAGGCTCTAAGACACCTGCTGGGGAGGTCCCAACTACATACAAGATGAGAAAAAAAAAGGAAGAACATGAAGAAAGGCATAAGAAGTAAATAATCAAAAATAATATCAATCTTGAAAAAAATTAGTGTTGAAAGATAAGATGTAATCAATATTAAAATAAAAGAAAGTGTAGGACAGGTTGAGTAGGTTGAAGGTCAAAAAAATGAAGCAAATGTTGTGGCAAAGAGGATTGTATTCTGAAACAGGCTAATAGTAAGTGAAACCATCATCATTTTCAAAGCCACCATCATCCAAACCGCCATTATAAAAATCATTTAGATGAGAGCTGTAGCTGTCTGAGTGATTGTAGAAAGTAGATCTTGACTCATCATCTGGAGACGCAAGCTGCTGTTGGTCAAAATTGTTGCTACTGATGTCATCAGGCTGGTGGTGGTGATAATTGCTGTTTTCCTGGAAGCAATTAGGTGTAGAAAAAGGGTGTTCAAGGTGTTCATGGGTTGATGAGCTTGGTTGAGTAAGGGTCTGAGTTGGTTGATTGTGGTTTGTGATGGCATATTGCCGGAAAGATTCAGTTCTAGTGTTGGGTCCCATAACACAAAGGTGCTCAAATTCATCTGCTGACAGGGTGCTGGACCAGTGGTGGTAATCTTTAGTGCTATAGTTTTTTAAGTCAAAATCTGGTTCAGATTGTTGGGTTGAATTGGTTTCAGGGAAAAAATGGCTGATACAATTCTCTGGAATAGCCTTGGAGGTCAAAACTTGTTCTGGTTGAAACTGATAGGGAGCTGCATTGATGTCTAGATTGGACCACTCATCCCATTTGATTTCATATACTTGGATTTTGTCTAGTTCATGTGTGTCACCTATTGATTTATTAGACCAAAAATTGATCTGCTCATCTTCAAACATCTTGCCACAGGGTGGTTGAAAATTCAATGATGAGGGATCTGCTGCTGAATTGTTTGGGTAATCAACAGCTGAGGGTTCTTCTTGATCTAAACTGTCAGGGGTTAATAGATTATAACCCTCATAAGAAGAAAACATAAATATTAAAATAAATAAAATAATATAAAGTGTGGGTGTGCATCAAATGAATAAAGAATAGTGAATAAAGACACAGTGCAGCAAGAAAAAACCCAACGTGACAGGTATCTATCCCCAATCGTTGATGGAGTATCTACTGGTTCCATTCCATTCCTTGAACCCCAAGGAATGGGATGACCACAAACCAGTCAGCAAGTCTTCCTAATATTTAAGAGAACAGCTGGCCTTGCTCTTTTCTTTTTCCTCATTGTGACATTAACATACCAACCAGTACTTACTAAAGATCTTACTAAAACTACCAAAGCCTATTAGCCGGATACTCTAGCACTTGTTAGGAATTATACTGGATGAATTCCCATTGCAATCTAAAACCCTCCCAGAGGTTGATTTACACCCCTTATATCTAAATTTTCATCAAAAAAATCTTTTTTTCTGGAGCCTTCTGGTAAAAGCTCTCACATGAGCTGGTTGAAATCTTCATTGTGTTCTTGATTTAAGACTGAGAGAGGTCCAGAAATCACTCTAAACTGCAACTGGAAGTCCTACACTATCAGTATAAGGTCATTTCACTACCTAGATAGACGGCTTTGACCTCTTTGCAATTGGTAAATCCCTCATTCTTATTATTATTGCTCTCACACCTGCCTGACCTCATCATGCCTCCATCACAATCTCTCACAACATCCCAAAGTTCCCTACAACCTGTTTCCTCGCTTTTTAACTTGAAGTGTTAACTAGAGATGGCACCAAGTACTTGTTTGTAAGTACTTGCTACTTGTTGGCAAGTACCTGTTGCCTTCCAACAAGTACTTGTCTACAGGTGTGGGTGCAAGTGCAGGTGTCTGAGATCTGAAAATTTTCATGCAAGTACTTGTACTTGTTGCAAGTGTGCACCTGCGCACCTTTACTTCAGATGGCACTTGATGTGCTTAGTTTTCCAGGTGTGTTTTTTATCTAAATTATTAATATTATTTTGGTTGATTTTTTATCAACTTTCCCGCACATTCTGAAGCAACCACTGTTGATGTGGAGCAATCCTTTAGCTTTGGTAGGGAATATGATTCTCTCAGGAGGCACAAGCTCAGTGCACAGTCTGTCACTAGGGGGATGAGTGTGGCATTTTACTCAAAAAACGGTAAGATCAAGAGGGGGCTTTTGAGAAAATGGAAGGCAAATAAGAAGAATGAGAAGAAAGCAGAAAGGGAGAAATCTGGAAGAAAATGAATGACTATTATTACTATTCACAATCACTTAGTTCACTTAGTTTACAAATACAAATATCTGAAATGAAAACACAAAAAATTTATCACCTTTATCTCTCAAAATATGCTTGCATACTTGCAAGTACTTGCCACAAGTATGCAAGTACTTGCTTTGTCCTGCCCCCGCAAGTACAAGTAAAAGTATGGGTGTCTGAGATCTGAGATTTTTCATGCAAGTACTTGTACTTGTTGCAAGTACACAAGTATGAGGGGCCATCTCTAGTGTTAACCCCCTAACTCTCTACTCATTAGTAGTTAGTTGCCCCGGATGAAAGGCTGCTGGAAGATTTGTGTAAGCCTCATCAAGACCTCTCTGAGCCACGCTAAACTTGTATTAACCATAAAACATCATCCTCTCAGAATATTGTGTTCTCCTTTTCCTTCAGTCAGACTATAGTTACTACGACCCATTACTCCTGTAAGTACCCCAAGTCTGACAAGTGGGGGTCTGGCCAGGAAATGATTCCTGACCTTGTCTCATCCTTACTTTGAACCTATCAGTCTATGAGCAACAGCCCATTGACTCAACCTCTTACCTACAATTTAGTTTCTATTCTTACTACTGGAAGATAAAGGAAATTAGGAACTTTCAGATAATCACTCGTAAGACCTTTCTCCGATCCACCAGAGAGTTTCTAGGTCAGAACCAATAAAAGCGACTGGTATCTATCCTCACCAAAAAGATGTGAATTGATGCCCCTTGGAATCCTGATTTCCCAAGGAAACAGGCTTCCAAGGGGCGGGCAGCCTCAAAGACAGGCAGGAAGAATTGCCCTCTAATCAAGAACCAAGATATTCTTGGTTCTTGACTGGCGGGTAGCTTAACCGAGGGGCGGGGCCTTTGAACCACCTCTCAAGTCTTGGACAACACATTCTTGTAGGTTGATTGCCAAGCCAATGATTGTCACCACATCCTAGGCCAGATTGCCGCTGTGCTCAGATTTGCATGCATGGAGATTTACAAGTTCCTTCAGCTCAGAGGGCCGGTAGATGACCCCCAAGTGTTGCTTTGGTATCCATTGAATCTTCTGTTTCACACCATGTTTGGTATTCCGTCCTTGATGACAAAGATGTGTCCACATGATGGACAGACCTTGAACATGTATCTAAATTTGTTCATTTGGTGCATTGGACAAAAAGTTTGAGAAAAATAAAAAACAAGCTGTGGATGAGCGGCCAACCTGACAATTCGAAAATACAGGGAAAGATTGAATGGCCCAGATTGATGGCCAATCGAGGTTGTGCTTGCATAAGTGGTGAGCTGAGAAAGGAAAAGTACAGTCTTGGAGGCCAAGAGGAATCCCTCTTGGCCATTGAGACTGTACAGTCTCAGAGGCCAAGAGGAATCCCTCTTGGCAACCAAGCCTGGTCCTGATGGCCAGGAGGAATCCCCTCCTGGCCATTGAGACAGTACCCCTCTTGGCCATTGAGACAGTACCCCTCCCGGCCGGGAGGGAAAAAATGTTGGGTGAAAGGAGAATAAAGCTCTCCCTTCACGTTAGCAAAACTTGCCCGCAAGGTTTGCTTACATCAGTGAAAGGAGACTCAAGTTTTTCCTTCACCTCCCAGTGTAAGGCCTGCAGCCAGGCCCGCCCCGCCCCTCAGAAGGGGTGGGTTCTTCTGCCCACCCCTCAGAAGCCTGTTTCCTTGGGAAATCAGGCTTCCAAGGAGCATGCGATCAAACCCGCCCCTCAGAGACGGGCAGGTGCAATCACACACCCCTTTTGGAGGGGCGGGGAGGGGGGGTGCAATTATCAATGCACTGCCTGCCTTTCTTTTTGACTCAAGGTGAGTATTATACTGCAAACATAAAAATTGAAGTTTGAAAAGACTTATTTCTCACTACACTACCACTTTTACTCTCTTAATTTTTCTGTAGTTTTTCAGATGTGTGATCAGTCTTTCTCATCACTCATCTCAGTTATTGGGTCTCAGCCGTATTTCTGGCTTGTGAAAAGACTTCACTTGTTGCATGAGGGACATGAATCATTGTATGTAACTTGCCAATTTTGAAACAGTTTACTTTTCTGGGAGGCAAAAATTAATATTCATACATGGTAGAATTGGCTGAAATCTCTGAACAGTGGTTAGGATGACATATAAAAGTATACTATAAAGTATTTTTTTATGAAAAAAAGGGAAGAGATTAGAAAGTTGTGGATTGACAAACTACTGAAGACTGAATCAAGTCTCCAAAAATGTTATGGCAACTTGAACAGCATTAATAATAGCTCTCAGAAAGGAGACAGTCCAATTAGCATACCAATGACAGAAATGATTTTGAGAAGGCAGTTCAATGACGTTTGGGAATAAATTAGGGAGGATATACGAGTAGATAAGACTTAGATAAGATTGGAAATGTGTGAGTAGTTGGACGATCTCATTCATGATCGCTTTACTGGTATTGATTGGAACAATGCGATCAGCGTCTTGGATAGAATACCACATTGTGTAAAGCGATTTATGTATGTCTTTTGTTAATCGATCCAACGACAACAGTTCGTTAGAGCACATCTCTGTAAACAGATTTACCTCTTTCTTCTTTATTCTCTGTCGATATAACTTCTTGAAAAACAGTCGTGAAAGTTTGAAGATCGGGACGAGTGAAGTACCGAGTTCGACAGCTGGTTCGCTCAAGGGCTCGTCGTCATCTTCAAACAAAATTCTGTCCGGATCCAACTGGCCTAATAGTCCTTTCAATTCGTCATCATAGAAGCCTATCGCGTTTTTCCACATATCCCAGATCAAACTTAATTCGGACTCCTTTAAAAATCCAATGGCTGAAGCAATTTCCTCGTCGAGAGTAAACGATATAATCCGGAAGTACTCCGGAGAATGGTTTTTTGAGAGCTTGAAATCTTTGATAATGTAACCGGAAAGTTCGAAAAATAATCTGAGGGTCGTTTTTAGGTTTTTTCTGATAGAACTATTGAAACAGTAGAGTCGGTAGATTTTAAGCTCCTCGAAGTGTTGATCATCCGTCTGGCAAGGTTCGGGAATTCTTCCAGGAAACATTTCATTAAGCGCCTCAATCGTTTGGCCTAGAGTCAAATGAAGATTGGCTTGGATCTCTGAGGTGAGCTGGAGAGTGGAGGCTAGGTCTTCCCGCAAGTGGTATCGACTGCACAACAATCCTGATAGACTGGCGCATTGCTGTCGGAGTCGAGGTAGAAGAGTTGAGTCCAAACGAGTTAGGATATCTTTCTTCGACCTCAGTCGCTCGATAGAAATATCCGGTTGAGTGTTAGCTGGCCAGGAGAACGGGTACTTCCTCAGTGCTCTGAAGTCCTGGATGACCAAATCTTTGCAAATTTCTAATCATTGTCGACTCTATTTGATACTCTTGTTTTGACAAACATACAAATTCATCATACCTGCTTGGCGTCGAAGCTCCAGTTTCTGCTCTTCTGGAATATCAGGTTGGGAGAGTTCACTGCTTGAGTCGTTCATTCTGGTTGAGGTTTGTATTTTGTGTCGGGTATGTGTGTAGACTTGAAAGGAAACAAACTGGAAGACAATCTGCATAAAGAGACAAACAAGTCACGTGTTTGAAACACGTGACTCTGGTCTCTATGTAACTTCACCTATTTACGTATGTAAATGTCCACAGGCCTTGTGAAGAAAGCCTTCGAAAGGCTTTGGAGCGTCATAGTTTTCCACCACTGTCCACACCCGGTTGGTTCTGATTGTTAGGACCATTTGAAGGACATCCTCACTAGACACCATCCAGTGCCACCAAATGATCTCTGCTGAGTAAAAGAGAGGATAAGGTTTGGAGACTTTGGAGGCTTGCCTTTCCCTGGAGTTATTTTTATCTTGTGGTTTGAGCTCATTCCTCTTTCCTGTAGAGGCCTTGAGTAAAAAAGGTCAAAAACTATATAAAGCTAACCCCAATTTTTTCAGCAAAACCAATGTCCTTATCAATCAGTCATCACATAATACATTGCTTCCAACTTTCCATGTGTCCCTTGGCACTTGCAGGAAAACACCCACAACCCTCAATCAAAAGCAAAGAGATGTCCAAAATTCACCCTTCAAAAATGAACTCCAACTGGAATCTACTTAATGTTTTTATTCTGCATTTTGTTTCTTTCATTATGTTTTTTTATTCAATCCTTTCTTTTTTTTATTTTGAATGAAGGCTTTTTTATCTAACATCCACTTTGAACCCTTTTTTTCCTTTTATTTTCCCTTTTATGGTTCCCAGCCTTTATTCCTTGTTTTTTTCTGCTTTCTTTCTTTCTGTATTTTTTTTCAATGTCTGTAATTTTTTCAATGAATAATTATTGCCTCTTTTGTTTCTTTTCTTCTGCCTTTTTTTCTTTTGAATGAAGGCCTTTTGGTTTCCTTCCCTTATACTTTGTTTTTCCTCTTTCTTTCTTTCTGTATTTTTTTCAATGAATGATATCATTTTTTTTTTTCATTGATATGGTGCCATTGGGGCTTGATATCAGAGGCTGTACTTTTTTTATCTTTGTGAGGGCAGTAGATGACAACAACTCCCAAAGTTAAGGGTCTTTTTAGATGGACAACTCCCATATTTTTAATAAAACAATATTAAAAATCTATTGGGAAATTGGAGCAACGACTCCCTTCTTCCACTCTCAAATTAGAAAAACAACTTCTGTTGGACGTCCACAGGCAGTAATGGGAGTTGTTGACTACTTTTAAGAGTTGTTTTTCCAAGCCCCAATTTTATCTGGGAACTAGGCTGGGCTTCAGTTCCAAAACCCTTTGCTTTTCCTGTTTTTATTTTTGCTAATAGTTTCTGATTTCCTCTACTTATGACAATATTCCAGAATCAGAACTAACCCATCACCCATTTTACCATTCTTTCATGTCAAGGGAGGCCCAGAGATTCCTGAGGAAAGTAATAGTGAATTGAGCATGAGCATGAGGAGCAAGAATCTGGTCAGACCACCAAGGGCCAATCTAAAGGCCTGATCAAGTTCTTGGTTTAAGTTTTAAGAGGATTTTCTAGAAATCCATAATTCAGGTAGGGGTCCTTGTTAGAGTTACTTGTACAGGACCCCAGCAAGCCCTAGGATAGGGGGGTATTGAAAAAGTATGAATTTTGGCAAAATTCATATCCGGGGGCCCCACAGGGAGTCACTTTTTTGGAAAATTCATACCTTTTTAGGAGTATGCTTAAGCTAACCCCCCCCCCCCTGGTAAAGTGTCTGATCTGGGGCCAAATACCAAGATTTGATTGGTTTAAACTAGGTTCACATGCCTGAAATGGCCTCTTTCATGAGTACCATTTCAACAACAATCACAAATTCATACCCATTTCAAGAGTATGATTTTGGCTTTTTTGTCATTTTCACATACCTTTTTCAACACTCCCCTATTAGGGGGCTTTCCGTGGCCCTCCTTGCACACTGCTAAAATCTAACGTGAAATCCAATAGTATCAGTGGTATCACACTGTTATACACTATACTCTTGCTACTCTCAGCATAGTGGGTTCGCTGCATGGTTTCAGTTACGATGTAATCAAAAAAGAGTGAGTTTCTAATATTGTCAATGAACTCTTGTGCTGCCATCTTGGGACATATAAAAAACTGTTTCAATCAAAATTTCATTGGAAAAACAAATTTGAAAAAAAAGCTTACCCTTTCTCATCAAATCTCCTAGTGATTTGGTGGGTCTGGTGTGCCGTTGATTCTTCTTACTCATTTCTCTGTCCATTAAGAAAATTAAGAACAGGCCAATCAATCAGGAAAAAATTGATAGTGACAACTTGCTGTACATGCATATGGCAAATTTGAAAGGTCTGTGTTGTTAAAATACAAAATTTAGTAATTTTTTGAATCAAAAATTACAGCAGTCTTGGATTAGTGATGAGAATAGTATTAAGAATAACTGCAAAAATAGGTTTTTTGTTGGAAAACATGATTCAAGTGTCTGCAAACGATTCGGCAGCTTGGATAGCATTATGACTGGCTACAAAAAATGAAGTAGTCCATGTAACAAACCAATCTCGGAGGTAAGTTTGACGAGACAAATCGGTACGGTTTGGGAACATATTAGGAAGAAGATAGAGGTTGATAGAGGAGAGATAAGATTGGAATAATTTGATGAGTTCGCTGAGTGCTTGGATAATAGCGGAACTAGTGGCACCAGGGGCAGGTCGATTAGCATCTAGTACATACGCCAATAGGTCCGAAATCTCGTCACGGATTTTGTCCATTGATTTGTGTAAGAAAAACAATTGATTAGAACACATCTCTGTAAACAATTCAGTTCCTTCCTTGTTGACATTCTGTCGATATAATTTCTTGAAAAAAAGTCTGGATAGTTTGAAGATTGGAAGGATTGATCGACCGAGTTGGATAGATGGTTGACTCAAGAGACTTTTTCTCTCTTGGTTCAAGGGCCTCATCGGATCCATCTGGTCTAGTAGGTATTCCAATTCATAATGCGACATCTTGATCAGATCTTTCCAAAGCTCCCATATCAAGCTCAATTCGGATCCTTTGAGATATCTTATCGTTAATTGTATCTCCTCGTCGATTTTCAAATATGCGAACTCGTTTTCATCACTTCTCCTTGCTGTTGAAAGCTTGAAATTGTCGATAAATGTGATAGAATCTTCAAACAAAAGTTGGAGTCGATTTGGAATGTTTCCTCTGAGAGAATCATTGAATCTGTGGAGTCTATAGATTTTCAACTCTTTGAAGTGTTGGTCATTTCTCTGACAAGGTTCGGGGATTTTTCCAGGAAAGACTTCATTGAGTGTCTGGACGATTTGGCTGAAAGTGAGGCGAAGATTGGCTTGGATCTGTGAGATTTGCTTGAACATTGAGGCCGGATTGTTCTTCAAATGGTTTGGCCTGCGCAACAATCCAGAAAGACTGCTGCATTGATGTTGGAGTTGAGGTAGAAGGCTTGAGTCCAAACGAATTAGGAGATCTTTTTTCGACCTCAATCGTTCAATGGAGATATCTATAAGAGTGTCGGTTGGTGAGTCGAAATCGTAATCCTGCAGCCGTTCAAATTCCCGGATGATTAAATCTTTGGAGGTTTCAGTTCATCCAGTTTGGTCTTTTTGATGCTTGATGAAAATTATAGGGATCTATCATACCTGCTTGGGTTCTGAGCTCTGGTGGTTGCTCCTTCGGTCCGTTATCAGGTTCAGACACTCCGTCGCTTGGTTCGGCCATTCCCACTGAGCGCGGTAAGATTGTGTAAGTATCTATATTTGATTCGGGGATGTCAATGGGTGAGATCTGGCTATTTGGCTCACAACTGATTTGGGGACAAATCGAAGGCGAGCGTTCCAACATGAAGAGGCCACATAATCTGGTCAAAACTAAACAAAACCAGAATTAACAAAACTGATAAGAAGACAATTGATCTGAGCACATTGCCAGAAACAGCAGGAAAACAGTAAACCATACCCATGTGCTTCATGATGTAAACCAGGTGAATTGGCTTCTGGTGGCCAAAGGCTTGCAACCTTGCTCATGGGAGGGAAGAACATATTGCGCCCACTCCTAGGGACTGGTTGCATCTTGCTAATTGCCAATTGAGGACCAAGGGACCTTACAGAACAAGATTTGAATTTTTCAGTTGAACTTGATTGTTTACATTTTGGCTTGCAGCTTAATGTGCCCATGCTTTTTGAGTGTATCTTTTCCATTGGAAAATATTGATCATCTTGATCTCCAGGAGCAGCAGTTCTTGCTGCTTTTTACAAAAAAGAATCAACAATTCCTAGCAAAAGAAAAAAAAATCAACTCTGGGACAGCATTGAGGATGGGAAAATCAGGATAACTCAACTATCTATCTGCTGTTGCACAGCAAGAGTTCTGACAGAGCCCAACAGGGGTCAAACTGGAATTTGAATGAGAAAATAGTTTTTTGTTTTGTTTGACCAAACATTCTTTGTTTTGATGCAGAAAGTGCAGGCATACCTGGATCTGCTGTAGCACCAGTTGAAAATCCAATTCTTGTTTCAATATTATCAATTCAGGCAACTTGCCAAATCAAAACATAAATAATTGAAAATCTACCTCCAAAAACCCAATCATTGCAACAGATGATGAAGAGTAGTGCCCCCTCCCCTTCCGACCAAAGTGCAAACTTGTCCCATAATAAAAGGTGGTTCTGGGCACACTTTACCAAGTATGGCAGAGATAGTAGTGAGTTGAATTATCATATAGCAGCTCATGAAGATAGCAAATAATGTATCACAACAATGAAATTAAAACTCTTCCTCATCCCTCATCTCAGGCTCAGCTATCCAGGAGCCACACCTATATTGTTAGCTCTTTATGAAAATGTGTGTTACAATTCCTCACTAATTCTTAGAGTGGCTTAGGTGTTGATCAACCTCTAGGCTCTACTTGGCTCTTCAAAACACCACACTGTACCCATTTCACCTTCCATTGAGAAAATGAAAACATTAATCAAAATTCAAGAGAAATTTAACAGTCTGCAACTTGTCATATATCTTGCAAGTTTGGAAGGTTTTTGTTGATAGGATACAAAATTTACTCACTAGACACCTTGAAAATTACTGCAGTCTTGGGACAGTGATGAGCATAGTATTACAAAATAACTGCAGAAATATATATATATGTATATATTTGAAACAACCAACAAAAAGAATCAAGTATCTGCAAATGATTGAACAGCTTGGAACGCGTTATGAGTAGCTAAAAGAAAGGAATCGTTCCAAGTAACAACCCAATTTTGGAAGTCAATTTGATGAGACAAACCTGTGTGATTTGGGAACATATTAGGAAGAACGTAGAGGTTGATCAGAGAGAGATGAGGTTGGAATAATTCGATGAGTTTGTTGAGTTCTTGGATGATAGCCGGACAAGTATCGCCAGGGGCAAGTCGATCAGCATCTCTTATAGAAAACGATAACATCGAAATCGATTCAATGATGTCTTCGATCGATGAATGCAAGCAAAACAATTGATGAGAGCACATCTCTGTGAATAATTCTACTTCTTCCAGCTTGACATTTTCTCGATATAATTTCTTGAAAAAAAGTCTGGATAATTTGAAGATTGGGAGGACTGATCGACCGAGTTTGATAGCTGGTTGACTCAAGAGACTTTCGCCCTTTGGATGTAAGGCTCTTATCGGGTCCATCTGACGTAATAGTACGGCCACTTGACGACTACAAGCTGTTGATCCCATCCTTCCAAAGCTCC